AACGGGGGTGGGCTGAACCCCACCTTGATCGCCGTTGCCCAGATCCGTCTTTAATTGACTCTGGATTCCTGTCTGGGAACGGTTCGGCAGGGACCGGCAGGTCGGGGCTGTCCATGGATGGCCGGAGCTGTGGGTTGGTGGAGCGATGCCCCGAAGAATGCCGGATGGGGCAACCATCAGCCCAGGCGGGTCTGCTGCTGAAAGCTTTGGGAGACAATATTTTTTTAAAAAAGACCACAGGAAGAAAAAAAAAAAAAGGTGTAAGCCATGGAGGCTGCAAACACACCCGTTTCTGTTAACGTTCAGGATAGCATTACGTTTGTGTTTTTTTTCAAACTGGGACTGGGGTTTGTTTGATACTTTAGCTGTTGTTTTTTCCCCACCGTCAGGCAGCGAAGTGCCTCACCGTGGCTTGGTTTGGGGCTTGGGTGGTTTTAAATAAGAGACTGAGAATGTTTCCCGGTTAAAACAACAAGAAAAGAGACATTTGGACAAAAATAGAGGTCCGTGTTGAGCTGACCTCCTCTTCTCCTGCCTCCTCCCCTCCCTTGCCCTGGGGATGGAGAGTCGGCACCTCCAGGAGAAGCCCATTCCCTGCGGATGCTTCGCTGGGTTGCGTTCACATCCCAGCCCTCTGGTGAGACACTGGCTGGAGACACCACCACCATGGGATTTTGGGGGAGAAAGCAGAGGGTTTTGGTGTAGGAGCCTCTTTGGGGTGAAGGGAGGGGGGAGGTACAGCTGAGCTGCTGACCGTGTCACTGTGGGACGGTTGCAGGAGCGTTGCAGCTTGGCTTTCTGATGGGTTTGGGATGGCTGGGTGGGTTCTCCGGTGTCTAATAAGGGTTGTGCTCACCCAGAAGCCTTTCTTGTGTACAGAGAAAGTGTCTGTCCTCTGCTCTGTCTCTGCAAGTGGTGGGATCGATGTATTTTTGGCCCTCTGCCACAGGTGGATGAACTGGGTTGAAAAATTACTGGGGGAGGAGGAGGAGAAGAGAGGGTGAGCGGGACAGATGGACATGTCTGTGCATGCAGGCTCGCGGGGACAGCTCGGCTGCATATTCCTCATTCCTTTCCCGAAGCAGCCTCCCCACCTCGAAACGCCGCTGGTTCCCGTGCAAAGGGTCACCGGTCACGTCTGCAAAGGGCCATTGTCTCCCACCGCCGGTGGGGGAGCGTCGGGTCCCCAAGGCTTGAATGCGGTGGCAGCAAATGCCGGCTGTCCGTGACCAGGACAGGGCTCGGCTTTCCTAAAACGTCCTTTGATTTGAGAGATTTGGGGATTTTCACCACGCTGGGGTTGTACATGGGTGGGCTGCTGCATCACTAATGGTTCTCCCAGGACTCCAGTTGGGTGCCCGGCTTCAGGTCGGTGGCTTTGGCTCTGGGCTGTGGCTGGTCCTGCCGTGCCGAGAGCCAACACGAGCGGTTCTGTCCTTTTTCCACGATATTTGTGAATGAGCCCTTCCTGTGCAGACACGGACACGGGGAATTCATCTCCTGGTGTCTGAGGCTTAAAACCTCGGGGGCTTTTCAACATTACCAAAGAGACAGGGCCACGTCATCCTTTATTTTGAATTGAATGATAATAAGGCGACATCACTTCCAGGGAGTCCCAAGGGCTTGGAGACCCGATGGCAAATAAAACAAACCTCTTAGTATGCGGTGTTGGGATTTCTGCTTGTTTTCATGTCACGCTTTTGTATTTTTTTTAAAAAAAGCCAATCTCCCGTTTCCTGAAAGGGCTGTATTTAAGCTGTGTGTGTGTGTTTGGGATCGGTGCGGCTATTGCTGAATTTGGCCCCAGCTTTCGTGCTTGCTGGATCAAATCGGGGGGGATGGATCTCACTGAAAAATCACTGTATGAAGCGCATGATGCTGACAGTGATGAAAACATGGAAACTCTCTTTGCTGCCTCATCCCGAATTACTGAGGATTTCTCCACACCTCGAGATGTGTTAATAGGTTTTCCTTCCAGCACGGAGGGTGAATTCACGCTGATGGGCGCCCTCCAGGTCCTTTGGTGCGTGAAGGCAGGTCCTTGCCTCCCCTTGCCTCCCTTGATCCTTCCCTGCTGCTCCTGTTTGCTTTGCTTCATGCCGTGACACGCCGGGGTGTCCTGCCTGCGCTGCCCACTCTGCGGGCAGCGTTTTGCCTTGCAGGGATGAGGTCCTGCCGGCCGGCGCAGGCGGGGGGGGTCACGATGTTTGCAGAGTTGGTCGTGCCTCCGTCCCCGCTCACGTCTCCTGCCCGAAGCTGCATCTCTCCTGCCCTCTTGGCTGCCGCCGACCGTGGGATCTGCAACGCGATGGGGAGGGTGATGGAGGTGATGGGGGGGCGGGAGGTGATGGGGGGATTGATGGGAAAGGCTGGTGCTGGAGAAGGTCTTGCTGTCAAGGCGTCCGCCCTGGGCACTGAGAAGGGTCAGAAAAAGAGTGTGATGGCTGGTTCATGTACTGCGCTTTGGAGACGGGAAGATTTATGAGGTTGTCTGTACCCCAGGGGCACTCCAGACCTGCAGAGAAGCAGCAGGTGGTTATCCCCTTTCATGTCCCCTTAGGAGAGAGCTGAGCATCACTTCTGCCGTGGGACTGGAGGCTGAGGGTGGGACAACCTTGAATCCTCTCCCGTTTTTGGGTTTACCTTTTCCTCCCTTGTTTGCGACGGTGTTTTTCCTGGGGCTGTGGGCTCTCGGGATGCCTTGGGGTCACGGGTGATGCTGCCAGGGCTGGGGCTGAGCGCGGTGTCGCTGGCAGAGATGGGGTGATTGTGCTGCATCGCCTGCGCCCCACAAGTGTGGGGGGGACCTGGGGAGGTGGACTTAGACCCCGAGCCATGCCATGGGCCTCACTGGGTGCCCTGGCTGAAAATCCTGCATCACAAGGACCCTTTTCTCCTGCTGGCCTCCCCGGCAGAGCACGCCAGGCGCAGACTCCTCCGGCCAGCCTGCCACGCATTCCCCAACCCCGGGGGAATAGCTGGGATTCTTGCATTTCCTCCCCCAAAATGACACCGGCTGGACCGTGATCTGCGGTGAGCATCAGCAGCTGGCTCCAGGGAGAGGACGGGGTCTCCCGACACAGCAAGAAGCCCTCCAAGCCCAGGAGAGGCTCCGTTTCGGTCCCACAGCTTAAGCACGTCCCTGGTAGATTTGGGTTTTGTCGAAGTACCTGGGTGCTGGGGCAGCTCTGCCAGCCCTGGGTTGGGGAGGGAGTCTCTGACATTCCCAGCAGTGCCCACTCACTGGGTAGTTATTTTCTTAAAGCCCCAGCTCCTGGAGTCACGCCACCCATGGAGGAGCTTGGCTTTTGCCGAAGACTTCATTGTCGTGGGCAATTCGGGAAGAAGTTCGCGAAGGAGCACAGCGCAGAGAAACCCCAAAGGTGGGCATGCAAATAAACCCCCTTCGTCTTTTTTTTTTTTTTTCCAGAAAGGGTTTTTGGGGAGAGGATTGATGGATTTGCTCTGTGATTTGCAGGTGCAGCTCCTGCATTTCCTCAGAGCTTTGGCTGAACCCTGACACACTGCACATCTCAGGGCTTTCCAGCTCCCAGTAAGGGGTGGTAGGAGCCCTCGAGTGAAGGGGGCTCCCGGGGAGCGGGGTCACTGCGGGGACTTGCTCTGGCCCCGACCTTTGGAGGTGATGGGACCCGTCTGTCCCCTGCCGCGAGATCAAGGGATGAGGCATCAAGTGTAGGGATTCACACCCAAGCACGAGCAGCCACCGGAGTTTTTACCAGATGAAATGAAATGATGAGAGTGAATGGTGGTGCTTGAGATCAGCACCCGGGAGTGTTGCCCCGGGGGTCCTGGGTGCAGCGAAGGAGGGAGGATGGTGGAGGGGGAGCCAGGGGAGCAGAGCGTGGGGGTGCAGGGCTCCTCAGCTCTCACACCTTGCTCCACATCTTGGAAAGAGCAGAGAAAGCAATGGCAGTGGCAATCCCCTGTTGCCAGTCTCTTCCTCCTCCTCTGGCTCTCTCCGCTGGGATGTTTCCATGTTGCACAGCATCCCTGCGGGACAGCTGAGCCAAGGAGTTTGGGAGTCTGACCGCTGTCAGGACCAGGTCTCTCCAAGGGATGTCTGACCCAATCCCGTCGGCTTTGGCGAGCCCTCACCTCGGGGTTTGGCTTTGCAGCTCCCGGTGCTGCTGTGCCCCACGGGGTGGGTGCGGAGGGCAGAAGGGATGCAGAGGGACTGGTCTGAGCATCACCCCCAAGATGTGTTCAGAGGTCCTCATACCGGACCTGCCCTGAGGTCATCCTCTCCCCATCCCTCTGGGCACTCCATCCAGGGAGGAGGGAGCTGTACTCGGGTGGGCTCCTCACCACAGCGTGTTTGGGCTTGCAATGGCACACGGTGGCACCTCAGCTGAGTGTCTAAACCTGTGAAATGGGTGCCAAAATGCGGCTGGCTCAGGGCTATGAATTCAGGGGTACAGACCCCTGAAGATGCACCTTGTAGGGCCCCCAGGTCACCCCACATGCGGTGGAGGTGGGTGCAGGGATGGTGGGGAGGGGGAAAATCCCACTTCTTTTGGGGCTGTGAGCAACTTGGGATGCTGAAGAGCTGCTCTCTAACCCCTTCCTACCCCAGAGCCAGGGATCTTGGGGGGAAAATTCCATCCCTGGGGCATCCAGGGAAGAAGGAGCCGCGCTGCTGGCGGAGGAGCAGGCGCTGAAGGGTTAACGGGGAGTGTTTGCAGCCGGTCCCTTGTCACCAAGGAGAAGGGAACAGCACTTGGGAAGGAAACAAAACACCCACTGCCCAGGAGGGTGATTTCCTATCCCCACACTGCATTACAGCCCTTGGACCTCAAGAAGGGCTCCTGGCACTGGGAGGACGGTGTCACCATCCTGGGTGGCAGAGAACAACTGGCACCGGGTGAGTGTGGCTGCTGGGGAGGTGGGCTGGGGACACAGCCCAGGGCAGCTCCCCGTGTTCCCATCACCCATGTCCCCATCACCCCTTTCCCTCGGTCTCCTCCCAGTCTTATGGCAAAATGTGGGGGACGCCGGGAGCTGCGGTGCGGAGCATCCGTCCCTACCAGTCCAGCGAGCAGTACCTCTACGCCATGAAGGAGGACTTGGCGGAGTGGTTGAAGGAGCTGTACGACCTGGATATCGAGGTGGGCACCTTCGTGGAGGTGCTGGAGACAGGGGCCGTGCTCTGTTCCCACGCCAACAATGTCACCCACGTGGCTGGGGAGTTTGCCCGTGCCTTCCCTGGTGTTGCCTGCCACCTCCGCCTGCCTGCCGCCGGCGTCGCCTGCAACCTCACGGCACAACCAGGCACCTTCCAGGCCAGGGACAACGTCTCCAACTTCATCCAGTGGTGCAGGAAGGAGATGGATATTAAAGGTAAGATGCCAGGCTCCAGCTGCCCCATGTCCCCGTGGGCAATTCCCCTCCAGCTGCTCCTGGTGTCACCCCGGCTGTTTTCCCATGTGTCCCCCAAAGCCAGTGCCACCCCAGCGTTGGGCAGCACCACGCGCGCACTTCTCTGAGCTGGGATTTCTTTCACAAACTCCTCCGGGCTCGGCAGCAGCTTTGCAGGGTGCTGGCACGCAGCGGGCATGTTTGCTTGGGTGCAAATATGCACTGGGGGGGTGGAAGTGGAAAGGGTGTATGCCGCAGTGTGGTCCTGCCATGCACGGCAGGATCCCAGCCGTAAGGACATCAGGAGCGGTCCCGGCTTTCGGCAAAGGGTCTGTCACCCTGACCCCACCACCAGTGGATGCCCAGAAGGGGCACAGAGTGACACATCCTCAGCACACCCAACCGCTGTGGTTTGTGGTTTGGGATGCCATGAAACAGCCACAGCGCCTTTGCTTGGAGATGCCCAAGGGGAAGGCTCTTCCTCCGGGAATTTATCCCAACCTTTGTTGGACCCAGCCATATTCCTAGCGGGATATGTCCAGGGAATAACATCCCTCCAGGCAGGTTTTGATCCCACCAGTGCCCTCCGTCCCCTTCATCCCTGTCCCCCTGCCTGCCCTGGCTCAGTCCACACTTGCCCTGCCCCAGATGTCCTGATGTTCGAGACGGAGGACCTGGTGCTGAGGAAGAATGAGAAGAACTTTGTGCTGTGCCTGCTGGAGCTGGCACGCCGCGCTGCCCGTTTCGGCATGCGTGCCCCAACCCTTGTGCAGATGGAAGAGGAGATCGAGGAAGAGCTCCGCCAGGAGCTGGACCTGCTGCCTGCAGACACCCCCCTGCCCCAGCCCCCCAGGAAACCACGGGACCTCCACAACCTCGACCAGATGGTATGGATGGGCACGGAGCGGGATGGGGATGGGGATGAAGATGGGCACGGCCATCCCAGGACCCTTCCCAGGAGCCCTGGTGAGGACCCGTCCCTGCTGCCCACAGGTCCAGCACCTGGTGAGCCGCTGTACCTGCCCCATCCAGTTCCCCATGATCAAGATATCCGAAGGGAAATATCGCGTGGGTGACTCTGACACCCTCATCTTTGTCCGGGTGAGTCCGCTTCGCCCTATGCTTTTGGGGCACCGGCACCAGGAATCCTGCTCTGCTCCATGAAGCCTCTTCCATAATCCATCCCCGAAATGGGGCCAATGTGGGGTTTTGACCGTTATGCCCAAAAAAGGGCAGCAGGGAAGCTCGGCCCTGCGGTACATGTTTGCATGGATGTAAACACTCATGTGTACAGGACAAATCCTGCCGTCCCACACCAAGCCAGAGCCAGGTCTTACCCAGCAACGGGAACACTGGGATGCTCTGTCCCTGCCTGCATCCGTCCCTCAGCCTGGCTTTCCCAAAGGGCTCAGCACATGGCGGTGGAGAGGACTTTTCCCAAAAGGCTCCCTGCTCTCCTTGGGGTGATGAAACGTGTCTGTTGGGATGGCAGCAGGAGCTGGGACCCTCCCTGCCTCGGTGCCACTGAGCTGTCCTTTGGGAGACCTGGTGGCACTTCGGGCAAGCCCACAGCTCTCGAGCACCAGAGGACGAAGCCCGGCTGAGTGTGTCACCCCCAGGCTGCTTAAAAAGAGGGAGGGGGGGGTGGGGGGGGGTCCCATGGATGCGTCACATGCGCCTCTCCGGACCTTATGGCTCGTGGCATCCCGTGCAGATCCTGAGGGAACACGTCATGGTGCGGGTCGGGGGCGGCTGGGACACGTTGGAGCACTACCTGGATAAGCACGACCCGTGCCGCTGCACCTCGCTCTGTGAGTCCCCACGTCCCCAAATCCCATGGTTCTGCCCCATGACTGGGGTGGTGGGGGGGGGGGGGAAGTCCATCCTGGGTCTGGCTGCTTCTGGGGCCATTTGTAGGAGCAGTAGACCTCACTACCATGATGCCTCAGTACTTTGCTGGGGAATGTCTGGTTTTGGGGACTCTCTTTGGCTTTGGTGGCCACTAGAGGTCACGGCAGACTTTTGGATGGAGCCGGACCCCAAAAAGCTCCTTTGCAGGGACCGCAGGTTTGCACCAGCATCGCCGAGAATGAAAAAAGGTGTTTTTCAGTTTTGAGTCCTTTTGAAAGAAGGGAGGGCCAAAGTTGATAGCTCATTTGAAGGGGTTCCAGGAGGCAGT